TTTTTTTAGCACAAAGTGCTTTTAATTTTTTTTTTCACTCGTAATCCCAAAACCAGTGCCAGATATATATTTTTTTCTGAGGGTCGGTCTGTCGGTCCGTCTGTCTGTTTGTTTTTTAAAAAATATTTTATTTATCTGTAAGTGGGTAAATATATAAGCCTTTACTATAACATTTTATTGGTTTCATTATGGAATTCATATTTCACAGGTGTATATAATATGAAAAGACCTTTCCATGGTTAAAATATTTTCTTTTAATATATTGACCTTAGTTTTGGAATTTGAGCTTAGGTCATATGAGGTATGGCTTTCATATTTCACCGGTGTATTCCATGTGTAAGAACTTTTTTCTTTTGTACAAGTATTTTTGAAACTTTTACTTTGCACTTGAAGTTTGACTAACTATTAAAGACATTTTCAAAATTTTAATCTAAGTCATGGCTATTGAACGGTTAAGTCTTGTGATAGCATACTCCTCATGCTCATTTTTTGACAAGATATTTTACTGAGTACCAGCCGCAATGACCTTTGACCTTACCTTATGGATTTGACCTACTTTTCAAAAATTTAACTTTGGCCGTATCTTCTAAAACTGTTAGTGCTAGAGGATAAGTATTTTACCAGTTTATTTCTTGTGGCAAGAGCTTCTCTTGATTACCAATATTTTCTTCCTTTTACTTGGACCTCAGACTTTGACCTTCTTTTAAAAAACTTTGGTCAGAACTTTTAAATGGCTGATTCTGTGTGACTCTTATATTTCGCCTGTGTTTTCTTTGTGAAATTCTTTTGGGCATCATTAACATCATTAATATTGACTCATTGCTTATGTCCAGTTTGAAGACATACTTTTAAAAATCTCTAACTTTGGTCATAATTATTAAACTGTTGCTGCTGTTATGGCTGTTAATTTTTGAAGATGGATTCATTGAAAGAATCTTTTCTGTTGGTACCAAAAAGAATTTTGTCTTGACCTACAACATTCATCATTAGCTGCATTACGAGAGCATTACCTTTCACAAACACAGATTAATTTTTTCATTAGACTTTTCATATTTATTTAACTACAAATTCCAAGCTGTAGTCTATATATATATTTATATATCAAAATTAAATCCAAGATAAACAAACAAGTTTACGTTTAATTTTAAACGTTAAAAAAAAACAAAAAAACGTAAATTTGTTTGTTTATCTTGGATTTAATTTTGATTTATAACTTAACCTATACCATGGACTACTACAACATTTTCCCTATATATTTATATATATATATATACATGATCCATAGTCTTACATCGCATGAAATAGAATAAATTGTCTTAACGCACATATCGATGTTTAGTTGTGTCATTACTTAAACACTGAATCTTTTTTTCAAAGGTGTAATCTCATAATTGCAAATCTGTTTGCAAACATATTGATCAATGTTAGCTCGCTAAGATTTTTGCAGATAAAAGATAACATCTTTCAAAAATAATGAATCAATGCTTTTTTATTAATTTTCTAACTCCTTGTGTTGTTTTGTAAATTTGATTTCTTTTTTAAAGTACTTGAATTATCTCTAACTTAAACAAGAGGCCCAGGGGCCACTTCGCTCACCTGAGCAATTGGCTAGAAAAAAGCACATATCAGATCAGAACTGAAAATTTACCGAGGGCGGGCAGGGGGGCGGGAAGGGTTTGAGGGGCTTGAATTTTAACCCCCAAGGGGTCATGACTTGAACAAACTAGAATCTACAATACCTGAGGATGATTCCCTATAAATATCACTAAGCATGGCTTTGAAGTACTTGAAAAGAAGATTTTTAAAGGTTTGCATATATATTCCTATTTAAAACTTTTATCAGCCATTTGGCCCCATCCTACCCATGGGGGTCATGATTTGAACAAACTTGAATCTACACTACCTGGGGATGATTCCACAAGAGTTTCATCTTTCGTGTCTCAATGGGTCTTGAGATTTTTCCTATATATTCCTATGTAAAATTTTGATCGGCGATTTTGGCTCCACCCTACCCCCAGGGATCATGATTTGAACAAATTTGAATCTACACTACCTGAGGATGATTCCACATGAGTTTCATCTTTCCTGGCCAAGTGGTTCTTGAGTAGAAGATTTTTAAAGATTTTTCCTTTATATTCCCATGTTAAACTTTGATCGGCCATTTTGGCCCCACCCTACCCCTTGGGGTCATGATTTGAACAAACTTGAATCTACACTACCTGGGGATGATTCCACAAGGGTTTCATCTTTCGTGTCTCATTGGGTCTTGAGAAGAAGATTTTTCCTACATATTCTAATGTAAAACTTTGATCGGCCATTTTGGCTCCACCCTACCCCCAGGGATAATGTTTTGAACACACTTGAATCTACACCACCTGAGGATGATTCCACATGAGTTTCATCTTTCCTGGCCCAGTGGTTCTTGAGAAGAAGATTTTTAAAGATTTTTCATATATATTCCTATGTAAAACTTTGATCGGCCATTTTGGCCCCATCCTACCCCCGGGGGTCATGATTTGAATAAACTTGAATTTACACTACTTGAGGATGATTTCACATGAGTTTCATCTTTCCTGACCCAGTGGTTCTAGAGAAGATTTTTTTTAAATGCCATAAATTTTTCTTTTATTCATAATTATTTCCCCTTGGAAAAAGGCGTGGCCCGTCATATGAACAAACTTGAATCCCCTTAACCCAAGGATACTTTGTAGCAAGTTTGGTTAAAAATTGGCCCAGTGGTTCTTGAGAAGAAGATGAAAATGTGAAAAGTTTACGACGACGACAACGACAGACAACGGACAAATTTTGAACAGAAAAGCTCACTTGAGCCTTTGGCTCAGGTGAGCTAATAACAATAAATCTAAATAATTTTGATCTTCGTTTCTGGCATTGCTCTTGCACTGTATTTAATGTTTGTGACGTCAGAATAAAAGGCATATTCCACATTGTAACCTTTTGACCCCCGATGTGTGTTATGGTGTTTTGAAATAAGAAAAATTACAGTATTGATACAAGTCTACTGTTACGTATTTTTTGGATTCAAAAGCATTTTTTTTCTCTTTTGAATTATTACCTGTAGCAATAAAAGATGATCTTCGGAAAATATGATTTTTTTTACTTTAAGCTCATAATCTAGTATCATTGAGAATCTAGTATCATTGGGTTTCTTTCCAAACCTAAAATTCAAGCAAATTAGATATATTTATGGTATGATTGAATTTGTTGAAAAAAAATATTCAGTTTATCCCACTTCTCAACTATTTAGTCTATTTTCTCCATGATACTAAAAAAATAACAAATTTAAGCGGTTATAAGTACATTAATAGATAATGAATTATCATATACATTCAAAATACAGCATGGATGGGAAAAGATGGGGATATGTTTTTAGAGAAGTATAATTTTAGATGTATTGTACTACAAAACATGACCATCAAACATATATATACATATATATATATATATATATATATATATATATATATATCTGAATATATTAAACATATATATATAAAAAATATATATATATATATATATATATATGGTTCTTTTTATATACATCTTAACATCTTTATTACAATGAAACCTATCTTATCCGACATGTACGGGGAACAGATAACAAATGTCGGAATAAACAAGATGTAGTATTGCAGCGTGTAAAGATCATTGACATAAGTATAAATGAGAAATGGAATTGAATGGGGAACCCAGAGTAAAAACGTATTGCAAATGTGTTGGATTAAACAGATTCCACTATAATAGGTTTATTATCTGTCCAAACATCATCATTTATCAGTGTTTGCAAATAGCAACGAAATAATGATAATTTCAATTTTTTATACAACACATTTAAAGTACATCTTTTACTGAATACATTCAGTATCGCTTCGCAAAATAGTTAAACCCCCTTTATTTACCGAAAACATATTTGTTTACATGTTTATTACTTGATGTTTAATATCTAAAAAAAAAATCAGCGTGAGAAATTAATCAAAAATCTTCTTTTGAGGGCTTGCATAATCCATATATGATCTTTCATCTGAAAAAAAAAATAAATACTTCTAATATACATGTATAATGGCATATGTTTTCTATTAAAATAAAACCTTTATAACTGAACTTTTCACAGTTATACAAACATAAAAAACTTGTTATTAAGACTGAATGATGTTTACCTAGTTACGTTTGACCATCATTAAGGTCCTCTTTAATGGTATTCCACGTACTGTAGGGGCCCATGGAGCGTTAAGGAAGGCTCTGCTACAGCGAATAAACCACCAGCCTCCTCTGAAAGCAGCAGCACAGTTATTATCACTCCACTTGTCATTGTCCCTGTCTGGGGTCGAGAAGTACATCCCAGCCGGATCAGGGCCTCTCATGCTGTCTCCTGAAATACAATATTATAACAATATAAATAGACACAACAGTCATCTCCAGTCAATCTGTCATTATCTTCTCAAGCTGTCTATTGCAATACAATATCATAACAATATAAATAGACACAACAGTCATCTCCAGTCAATCTGTAATTATCCTCTCATGCTGTCTCCTGAAATACAATATCATAACAATATAAATAGACACAACAGTCATCTCCAGTCAATCTGTCATTATCTTCTCATGCTGTCTCCTGAAATACAATATTATAACAATATAAATAGACACAAAAGTCATCTCCGGTCAATCTTTCATTATCTTCTCATGCTGTCTCCTGAAAAACAAGATTATAACAACATAAATAGACACAACAGTCATCTCCAGTCAATCTGTCATTATCTTTTCATGCTGTCTCCTGCAATACAATATCATAACAATGTAAATAGAAACAACAGTCATCTCCAGTCATTCTGTCATTATCTTCTAATGCTGTCTCCTGCAATACAATATCATAACAATATAAATAGAAACAATGGTCATCTTCAGTCAATATGTCATTCTCCTGCAATACAATATCATAACAATATAAATAGAAACAATGGTCATCTTCAGTCAATATGTCATTATCTTCCCATGCTGTCTCCTGAAAAACAATATTATAACAATATAAATAGACACAACAGTCATCTCCAGTCAATCTGTCATTATCTTCTCATGCTGTCTCCTGAAACACAATATTATAACAATATAAATAGACACAACAGTCATCTCCAGTCAATCTGTCATTATCTTCTCATGCTGTCTCCTGAAATACAATATTATAACAATAAAAATAAACACAAAAATCATCTCCAGTTAATCTGTCATTATCTTCTTAGGCTGTCTTCTGAAATACAATGTTATAACAATATAAATAGACACAACAGTCATTTCCAGTCAAGCTGTCATTATCTTCTTAAGCTGTCTCACTTCAAAGATCTTGCAAATACTGTTAATGTGAAAAAACAATAAATTTCTCTTTCTCCCAAATATCCACCGTTCACGGTAGCTCAGTCGGTAGAGCGCTCGCTCCGTGATCGGGAGGTCGTGAGTTCGTATCTCGGCCGCGACTGACCTAGTCGTTAAAATTGGTAGCAACTGTTCCTTCGCCATGCGCTCGGCACTTTGAAGTGAAAGTTGCGGGTCCTTCGGATGAGACCTTAAAAACCGAGGCCCCATGTCAGCGGCAGGCGTTGGCACAAAAAAGATCCCTCACTGCTCAATGGCCCTGAGTGCCGAGTAAAGGTCAAAATTTGAAGCCCTTCACCGGCATACGGTGACGTCTCCATATTAGTGAAAAATTCTCGAGAGGGACGTTAAATAATATACAATCAATCAATCTCCCAAATATCCCTTTTCTATTCAGGGCGTGCGGATTTGGACGCTGTCATGAAGAAATTTAATGTAGTGGATTCCTGATTCTGGGTCCTTCCTCTCATGAACCTTTCGATTTTTTGCAAAATATTTGCTTTCTAGCCTCTTCCAGAAAATAAACTGTCAACTCGAATTTGAACAACAATACCACTTATATTTAAGAAATTGGATATAAATCTGTCTTGCTCTTGCAATTCCTTGCTTTTGAAAGACCTTTGCTGTTTTTATCAAGTATATTATATGGTAAATTTTGTTTTGAGGCTTTTAAACAATATATTCAAGTTCAATTATCTGTTTAAATATCACGCAAATGTGGATAACTACAATTACTGATATCTTAAAACAATTGTTAAGACATTCGTACACGCTGTCGTTTTCACTAATTTTTCAAAATATAGGGTGACCTTTGAGAACTAAGCTTTTAACCATCAAACGTTTCTAAAAGCAGTATGAGCAGCGTTTTTGGAAATTTTATCTTACTGGTAAAATGTGTTATTATGATTAATCTGTATGTAATCTAAACCTCTATGATCAATACAACTAAAATAAAGTTTAAAAGATGTTTCATTAGAAAAAAGAAATATTTCAGTACAACTGAATATACATTATTATATGAGAAATTATTATTGTTCAAGACGACAATAACACAATTTTGCTTCAATCAAAGCGTATAAAAGGTTCTTTCATTTCAAATATGAACAACAGAATATCATAAATGTTCTATTTTTCTGTCATTTTTTTTCTGACGACAAACATTCAGCTCATATTGCTTTAAAAACAGTGTAAACTACCCCCCGAAATGATGTCTATTGAATTTGCTATGTGTCTTAAAGTCAATCACACATCATCAAATATTATTTGTTGAAATTTAGCAAAGAGTATATAAGTTGTTATAATTTTTTTTGGCAAGGACGGTACCCGTTTTTGATGCCCATTATTTATTTTTTTATCATTGAAATCCAACTGCTCATTTGTTTATAAAACAGGCATTGGATGTTGTATATTTCACATATTTCAATGAATATTTCTTTGGGATTTTTAACAAGTTTTACAGCAGCTTTAATGAAGCTTTTATTTTCACTCTAGTTTACTTCTTCTTTACCACTCATTTATAATGCAGTGTCTCGAAAAGCTCTTGTTTTCCAACTTCTCACAATGAAACTATGTGATAAAAAGTGGTCACATAAACTGTTATAAATTAATTAAAGATTAAATAATGAGAGAAAGTCAAGCTTAATGTCTATGATATCTGTATTATATGTCATACAGTTCAGGACATTATTTATTGAACAGTTATATTGCTATTGGGATGTGGCAAGCTGGAGTTTACGGTAGCTTACTCGGTAGACGCTCGCTCCGTGATCGAGAGGTCGTGCCTTTTTATCTCGGCCGCGACTGACTTAGTCGATAAAATGGGTAGCAACTGATCCTTCGCTTTACGCTCGGCACTTTGAAGTGAAAGTTGCAGGTACTTCTGATGAGACCGTAAAAACCGTTAGTGGCAGGCGTTGGCATCAAAGATATCCCTCACTGCTAAATGACCCTAAGTGCCGAGTAAAGGTCCAAATTTGAAGCCCTTCTCCGGCATACGGTGACGTCTCCATATGAGTGAAAAATTCTCGAGACGGGCGTTAAACAATATACAATCAATCAATCAATCAACTGGAATGGCAAACACCAACGTTGCAAGACGCTTTGGATTTTACAAGACCGAAAAACCGAAAAACCATCCAAACATAATGGACACGTTTTCAACAATCTGGTAACACTAGGGATCGACCACACTCTGGGCGTCCTCGTGTGACGTTGCGTCAACAAGACAACCACATTAGACTCGTGCACCTGAGAAATCGGTTCCAGACAGCAAGTGTGACTGCTCGAACCATTCCTGGACTTAGACCAATCAGTTCAAGAACTGTGCATAATCGTCTGCACGAGCACAACACCAGACCAAGACTTACAGCTATACGCACAATATTGTTTGATCATATCGCAAGACTAGCGTGGTGCAGACAACATCTGCAATTCACACTACAGGATTGGGCTAATATTCTGTTCACGGAGGAGTCCAAAATTCATTTAGATAGACGTGACGGCCGTTGAAGAGTGTATCGTCGCATTGGGAAGCGGTACCAGGACGCTTGTTTTGTGCAACAACGACAATTCGGTGGAGGCAGTTTTAAGTTTGGGGTGGAATCCAGCATGTGGAAGGACCCCTCTTCAAATCGTCAATGAAATTTTTCTGGCGTGCGCTATCGACACGAAATTTTTCAGCGCCATGTGATACTCTTGATACAGGGACAGCAAAATCACATTACCTTACAGCACGATAACGCAAGAGCACATGTTGCATGCGTAGTTTTCGTTCATTAGCATGCCGATGTCTGCCTTGGCTAGCTGTTTCCCCCGATTTCTCGCCGTTTGCTAAATCAGCCAGTGACGCTGACTGATTGAGGCCAGGTCTTAACCATCATCTGACACAACATCCCCCAAGCATATCTGAACACTTTAGTGTCGTCAAAGAGGCGCCGTTGTCAAGCATGTGTTAATGCAAATGGTGGTCACACAAGTTATTGACTTTCTTAAGTCAATTTTGGATACAAGTGTCTATCCAGTGTTCATAAATTGACGTTAACTTTATGAATTATGAAATTTTGTTATGAATGCATTTGTTAATAGTATTACAAAAAATTAGAAATTGTTCATTGTTATTTTTATTATTTATTCATGTATAAAATACTGCACATTTTCTTATTTCCCCTACTATATTAAACATGTTTAATTATTCTGGAATCGAAAACGTAAATGAAATATCAGAAAGAATTTTTTCAACATCATAATAATGATTCAACACAAAAAAGTATTATTATGATAATATACGTAAGTTGAACCTAATAACTTAACGTGAATACACTTACCTAAGGTCCCCGTAGCAGCTCCTGTAAGAAAGAGTTGATATTTTCCTGCTTCGTCGGAGACAGAGAATCGGTCGTACATTATATACTGAGTTGTACCATTCTGGAGAGTGATGGACACATACAATGATGATGAGTTTTCTTTTGTTAATTGATGGATAACGTCATTTCCTGTAATAAGATATATGTGAAATCAGCTTAAAAACCCATTGCATTAACAATTGATTCTTTTTAAAAATTTATTATACCGTAATGAAAAATCTTTTTTTTTCCAACGCTGTAGACTAAATTGCTTAATTTGGTCTCATAATAATATGCCGCTAAATGATGTTCTTCTTTTCTTTTTTTCTAATTATTTGAGATGTCAATAAAACACGATATCTGAATATCGTAGAACACACATTACCTAGTCTTAAATTTAGATCTTTATTACGCTTTATAATTTTTTACCTGCCACAAGAACTTTTTTATCCTCGAACTCTGAAGGAATAAAAAGTTCTTATTTGAAAATGGTTTACACTTACCAACCCAGATATCCTGTTCGGGTGAACCAAAACCATTCTTATAATCCGCCCAGTTCCTTTCAAAGATCACGGATCCGTCTACGCGTTTCTGAATGGCCTTTGAAAATTAACATGCATAACAATTCAATTTATTGCTTTGAGCAATTAATTATTATTATATAAACCCAATGTATTCATAATCTTTATCTTACAATCTTAAAACAACAGAGACAATATAAGTTGCATTATTTACTTTTATTTTTTAGAACAAACTACATACCGTCCACCCCCCGCCCATTGTCGTCATATCGCAATATACACTTATTGGAATGGTTAATGTACTGTAGGGGTATATATCATACACCCCTGTGATGGTTTGTCCGTCCTCGTGAAGATCATTGCAATCTTTGGGAATGGCAGAGAAAACAAAATCTAAAAAAAATGAAGGGATCATGTTATGCGTATGTACAAGAGGTGAGAAGATATATAATGCCTGCATGATATATGAAAGTTAATTACTGCAGCTGCAATGTTAACAACATCTACAATGCAGATTAGATAAGCTGTGCCTCATTATCTTAAATCATTTTTTTCTTTTTTTCTAATTGCTACAAATCTATGCTTTATGACATAATTAAAAGTATTTAAAATAATATACAACTATTTTCTATACTCCGTGGATTGAAAGAAATGTTAAAGAATGATTCATTTTTAGATCAGATGTTATACCGTTTGGACCATAAATTAGATGTTAAAAAATCTAGTAAAATCCACAAAATCTACATTTTTTGTATGCTCTAATGTATGTGAAATATAACCTTTCGTATATTTCTAAGGTTGATACAATGACAATGTTTCCTAACACAGTCTATCAAATTCAGACTGACTTTATTATGGATTGTAAGGCCTATATTTTTACAATGAATTGTCCTTAAACTTTCCGTTTTCCAGATCAGGACAGGGGACACACGGTGGACCTGACCGATCTAAGGGTGTTTACTCTTCCATTGCACATGGTTTACATCTCACTCTCAAGATGCTCATTCCTCCATGGCACCTGATCCCACCTCTGATGTTTTGGAGGTACGTGTTTGCTCTGCTCTTACTTTGTATTGTTTCATGGACTTAGAGATTGAATACTGCTCGTTATCTCCATGTCTTCAGATTTCAGGACAGCTGTTTTCTAGATAGCAATTTCGAGAAACTAGCTTCAGGTGAGTTTTTTTTCGTTGATTTTTTAGTTAATTACAAGCTATAATTTACTTATGGTTTAGAATGATCCTCATAACAAAGCTTAAATGAATATAATTACTAATTATGTTGAAAATACACATATACCACTTAAAAAGAAATTTCAAGAGAATAAATCGTGTTTTTTCGAGAGGAACCTTAAAAAACAAAGAAGCAAACAGAAAGAAGAATAATATGTGTACATACCATTATCTGAGTAGTATCTCCACCCGGCCTGCTCAGACGTACCAGACGTTAGACTTTTCTTGTGGGTACGACATTTCTTCGTTTGCGAATTAAAACCAAAGAAGACGCACTCCCTTTGACACATCGCGGCGCACTCGGTCAAAGAATGAGAATTCTGTTCTCCTAAAATCTCATAGTTTGATATTTTATTATTAAACTCCATTTTTGCAATATATTTCTGAGAGATAATGGTCGCTTTAGATAATGCTAAGAAGCCGACAATTAAGGAGATAACGCACTGGCCACTCATTTTTTCTTTACTTTTTTAAGATAAAAAATTCTGCGTGCTTGTGAATCCTGAAATTTCTGCTAATTGGTCTTTCAACAGCCATATATATATGTCGTATCTTCATCAATGAGTGAAAAATGATTGGCTTACTGTTACGTTCTCTATATTTTACTGTTGTTTAAGTATCGATTTTTTTTAAGTTGAAAGGAATTGTCAATTTTTTTTTTGAAATTGCGATTTAAAATTTAACAATGAGAAGTGTTCTGTTTTTTTTTAAACTAGTTAATGTCTGTCTTGTTATACAGTGGTTTTTGTTATCATTAGCTATCTTTTAATATGGAAAATCAGTTTTTATTTTCTTGAATCAAACTAAAAATAAATTAAAAGAAACAATTATCTGACTCTCAGTCATTATTAATAATTTATTGAATTATTTCAACTTTGATATATTAGCCTCTAAATGTTAATGTAACACAATATATCATCAATGGTTTATTCAATTTTGAATTTATTTCTTCTGACAGTACAGAGCGATTCTTAGAAGAACGAAAATAACAAGAGAACTCTTTCAGTATCATACTTGGCGTGTTACATGTAAAATAATACCTTGGTTTACGTGACCCAAATTGGTAAATAGCTAAGATTGCATATGATCTCACACACATTATTTTATCTTTAAAAGTCTGACGCAATATCCTTTGAGTTTGTATAAATACGAGGGCCGTTCAAAATTTATGCTGAAATCTCAGAGAAATATGTATCGTAAAGATTTCAATATATTTTTACCAAAATTTATATTTTGGTAAGGGGTAATTTATATGTATTTTTAAAATCTTCTCTAAAAATTTCCGCCGTGTTGATATCCCAGATGGAGAGGTACGGAACACGACAAAAATTTGAAACACAAACATGCAGAATCATTAATTTTCTATAAACGCGATATTTTTCGACTATTTTCTCAAAGGTATTTTTATTTTGTTGTATCACTATGTATTTATATTTCTGACGTGATATTTGTAGTACTATATGAAATAAAGAGATTTTTCTCCGATGCGATTCCTGAGAAAATGACGTCTCTTAAATTAACAGAGCACCACGGTTTTGTTAGATTATGTGTAATGCTTGAGATATCATCAACATAGATCAAAAATATGCAGAATAAGGCATGTAGTAAACTGGGCTATTCGTGACATTTGTCTATAAATAGTATTTTGGAATTTTAGATCCTTAGACCTTTGCAAAAAGGCTAGATAAGATAGGAAGAAGATAATCGACGAAAACCTGATCCGGACGGTAAAGAACGTGATTGAGAGTCACCAATATCACACTATTTCTCAGTTTTTGGTTTGAAAAAAAAAGAATATGCTGCATTGATGTATAGTAGATAAAGTTACTCAAAATGTACAGAAAATATCGGGAAAATGTTGAGAAAATGAACTTGAATCTCATATTTTTTCTATAATGTCCGTGACGTCGAAGATTTTGCTCCTCCGTGACGTAATGATATGTCCTGATTAATCACCAAAAATTGATATCAATTTACAACATTTTGATATGAAATTTTCAAAGACCATATAAGTAAAGATTTTTTTAATATTATGTGTGACATTTTGCCCAATTATATCGTGAATATTTTTTTCTATGCAGCAAGAAAATAGATCATGAATATAAAGAATAAACGTTATGGTACTGTCATCATAAATTCAATGAAACATATGAAAATAACGAACAGTATTCAAGATCAAGTCCATAAAACAATGCAAAATAGGAGCAAACACAAACCTCTGAAACATTAGAGGTGGGATCAGGTACCATGGAGGAGTGACACTACTGAACTTAAAATTCCCTGATATTCTGAAAAATCTCTGATAAACTCTGTTACCCACTGTCAAACTTCTGCTTTTCTCTGTTTAAGCACTGTACATACACTGTACAAAATCCCTGTACCTACTGTAATCCTTGGTAAATCACAGTACAGACTCAATGTTATTTTTTGTACATCCCTTTACATTACTGTACGCCTCCACTGTACAGCACAGTACACCACTGTCTGTCATTGTACGCCTCCACAGTACAACACTGTACATCACAGACGAGTACAGTGCTTAACCTCTGTACAGCACAGTACAGTACTGTTGATCACTGTACGGGACCCAGACTGGCACTGTACATTACTGAAGTTCAATGTACGCATCTCAGTTTGGCACTGTACATCACTGAGTTATACTGTGATCTTTTCTTGGACTTATTTATATTTGCAGTTCCTAAATTTTACAGATTTTATTAACTTCACTTATTATTTAAATTAAGCCGTGGGTATTTTAGACTTACTTAGTAAAAAAATATTTTTTGAGAGTGGTAATTTTGTGTTGATAAGTACACTCAGTATACACATACCGTATATATAAAGCAAAAAAAAAATCATATAGATTATAAACGTAGTATCATAAATTATAATGAATAATTGTCGTTTTTACATAGCTCGATATTGCGGTAAACGGCTAAATTTCATTTCTGCATGGATTTTTTTTTCTTTTTCAACCTTTTATAGTTTTCATCTCCAGCATTTTTCATGTAGTGTTTAGCAGAAATGAAATATTTCGCTTTAGGCAATGACATTTGATGTCGTGATGTAAAACATGACCCTAACTCTTAGCTAAGCTAATAACTTATGAATGACATAGTCTTATTTAGAAAATGCATTCAGCATTTAAGACATGTTTCACTGGTCAAAATGATTGGAGAAACATATTATTATCTTCATTGTGCAAATCCATGTCAGAATACCACACTAGTACTCGGCATTTAAATATTTGGAATTAAAATCGAGATATAGTGTTCCGCATTTCACGATCTTCCGACTGAAAAAAAAAAAGTGAAGTAAAACTTTCAGACAACTCGGACAAGCCATCAAGTTATTTCAAATTACAACATTCAGTTTTAGAAATTTTTAATTAAATTATATAACTTTTTTATCCACAAACTTTGTATTATCTAACCGTACCAGGAAACCTGTAGAATTTCATAAGAAAATACAGATAAGAGCTCGAGTGAACTAATAAATAATAATTTTCTTTTAAATATTCTTGATCCACGCCTTTTCTTTTACATGCTAACGCAATCCGGTAGTTTCTTGTATATTGCATGTTATTTGCAATGGTCAATCTAACAATATAGGTCGCGTCTCACCAGTGATGTAAGTTGCAAATAATTAATATACAAACTATCTGACCACTCCGAACAAGGCAGTATTTTCACAAATTCTCTGTACATACCGTGATACAGGGTACATGTAAATTATCAATGAAACATGCAATTGTACTTGTATATTAAAAAGAGAAAATTTGTTTTAAACATATTTAATAATATTACAGTATTAATCGGAACATGAAATGAACTGAACAGAAGACAGATTTGAAAAAATTACCTTATTATTTTTAATTTTTATCGTTTCTCAGAGATTATATTGGATACATATTATCAGGATACAATATGAAAAAAAATAATAATACATGTATTCAAAATCAAGTGACAAGAATTTGAATGAACCCAGAGAGATGGAGTGATAGAGCGATGCAGAGAGAAAGAGTAAATGATTTAGC